GGCAGCATCTTTTGAATGCTCGCCTTGCATTCTCCTGTGGCCGTATCTCTCCCAGCTCTGCGTTGTCTGCAGTTTTAACAACTATCCTGAGTGTGCTTAACCATTTTCCCTAAAGAAAGCCATCAACAGGACCAAACTAGGGCAAAATCTTTGGGGACCCCTACCCCAAGTATTCATGTTCATAAAGCTCTGCCATCGAGTAGGTGTTGTCAGGGCTGGGATGTATTAAAAAGCAAAGTGGGTTTTTTTTTTTAATTTATTTTGAGGCAATTTGGGGGTGAATTAATCCTCAGAAAAAAATAGTGTGGAAGGTAAATATGCATGTGATTATTAATCTTGAGACATTTAAGTGATGAGTGTTTAACAGGTGTCTGCTTGAATTTGTTTCCATTAGTTTACCGGACAAATATTCTTACTATGTGTTTACTTTTTCAGTGGGATATTCTGTAGTTGCTCTTAATCATGTCATCGATTTTAAAGAAAAGAAACAGGTAATTTTTGTTGGGGTTATTTTTTGTTGGTGTGTTCTCTCTTTTAAATATATGTGCCTTCCCAAATAGCTTTATCTAGAATGCACACCTAGATGCAAATACAAATGTCTGCATTTGTGTTAGAGCTCCCATTTTATAATTCAGTATGATCACCCTGGATTTAGCTTTTAATATAGTCCATGTGTCATCCCTGGGAAATAGTTTTGTTAGCGTGGCAAATTTTATTTTAGGATTAGAACACAGCTTTTGTTTACATTGTAAATTTCACCCATGATGTTTTGAATAACTTTGTTTTATTCTCTTTTAAGGAAATCGCCAAGCCAATATCTCCTTCGGAGTTGTTTCCATCTTTGCCTATTGTACAAGTATGTCTAGTTACATGGTGTCTATGTATTATTATTCTGAGTTATGTTTTTTACCTTGGTGTGTTTTTATATGTGATTTTGTGTATTACAATGTAATCAAAAATGAGAAATTTGTCCCTTGCTTCATTGTTAAAACTCCCGGCATTGGAAGAATGATACGCTTGTGTTACAGGGCTCTATTCATTATTTTAGAAATTCTTAAATTTCAAAATTCACATGAAGAATTGAGTTTTGGAAATAATTTCGTTGTTTTGATGGAGCAAGATTTGGATATAATGAACCATGTCTGTATTTCAAATCATGACGTATGTTAATTCAGGAACTGCTTTTGCTTGCAATTGTGGCCTGTCCAGGGAACCATAGCAGTATTAAAACATAGTTAGTTTTTCTGCATGATTTTACTTTTTTTTTTTTCCTTTATTTCTTTCTTTCTCCTTTCTATTGACCCTTCCTCAGAGATACACAATGAGTCATTCTTTGTGAAGGGCGGGTATAATATCAAACAGAGCTATATAAAATAGGAAAGTTTACGTACAGACTCTGGAAAATTAGCATGGACAAGAATATGAGCAAAGGACCATTTTCTTTTTATAGCAGACAGGGTGAAAGTCACCGCAAATTTTTGCTTTGAAGCTTTTTGTGGTTTGGTTTTTTTTTTTTTTTTTTTGTAGGGGACATCTAAAAGAATTAAAGTCTTAACACGTCTAACACTAGTTGTTTCTGATCCTTCCCACTGTAATCTCTTGGTAAGTATATTTAGTATATTAATATTGCAATTTTTAATTTCTTTTATCAATGTATGAATGAAACTTTGGAAATTCTATGGGGAGAACTTTGTGGGTTTTATAGGACACTCAGCAGTGATTTCTCAGATCACATCTTTAAATAATGTGATCATGAAGAGATGCAGACTTACAAGACTGGATGTGGCTTCTGTTGATCATTTGTCAGTATGGGACAACAGTTCTGTTCCTCAGTTCTTTTTTTCAATGTCTGGACTTCTGTGTGTAAACTAGAAGACCATGAGCAAGCCCTATTTGTGTTTTAGTGCTACATGAGTGAAGCAAATGGTGTAAGTGTCTTACTAGGTGGGTGAGGCAAGTCTGAAATGAGAACAAATGACTTCACAGAATGGCTCACAGCAGAGATCTCCTATGTAATTGGATGATGATTTGCTTTGTTTTAGTATTTGAAAGTGAAAAAGGGATTTTCTTGCCATTATTTTGGTCATGATCGTTGTGCTTAGCTTTGTCATCTGCCAGAATTCAAGGTAGTAATTGTTTCGTCCTTTTGTAGAGATCAACATCTGCAAATATAAGGTTATATGACATCATAGCAGTATTTCCAAAGACTGAGAAACTGTTCCATGTAAGTACAATCCTCTGATTGGTAATGCTCCTTCAATAACTTTCAGTACCTTGGGCTGGTATAAGTACATGGTTTGTTTTGATTTTATTTCCCATTTTATAAAGGCCTGCATGTCATGGAGCTCATTAGGCAATGCAGACTGCCTAGTCAGTTGACAGACTGAGAAGGTTGGGAGGGATTGCAGGAGGCTGCAAGGCCTTGGGATGACTGGTTGAAGTCTGACACATCTACCTGATGAATGGGCTTGTATGCCCCTGCACTGTGGTTTCCTTTGCATGTCTTGTAGTCTACTGAGTACTCCTCTCTAGTAAGAAAAGAAAACATCTTTCTTTTTTTCTAATATATATATACACTGTTGTCACAAAAGAGTGATTTAGATGACTTAAAGAATTGCCATCAAAGGTACTGGCAAAAGTGATTTCAATATGAATTTGTCAAAGTGCAGCTTAACATAGTTCGCTGGCAGAGTTCACCGTTACTTACTACATGGAAGAAACATACAAAGCAAAATCGAGATAGAATCAAGATAGAATGATTTACATAGAGACCGGAGACACAAAAGGGTAAGGGAGACCTTCCCATTGATCCATGAGGTTCAGAATGGATCCCCTTGCTTTCTAAACTCCTTCACATAGAGGAGTCTAGGTGTGGCCAGATCCAGGCTTAGTCCCAGACTTGGTCAACGGTTGATGCCTAAAGGATTTAGACAAGTGGATTTCATTGGTATTAATTCAGCATGCTATCAGTCACTGAGGATCTGTTGTGAATAAGGGGTGTCACCGCCTTGGGTAAGGAGGTGTCTTTTAGTCTCAGGTAAGGAATCTCAAACCTTGTGAGGCATCCCAGCTCAAGGGGAGATCACAGCCATGCAACCCCACTACCTAGCAGGGAGAGCTCAAAGGAGGCACACTTTGGCTGCCGTGTTTGTGGGATAAAGTGGTTGGCTTGTATTCAAATTGCATACAATGGGAAAGGTATGCATGAGGCTCCTTGTACCCACAACTTCCTTTGTTCTTTGGTGAATGAGTCTTGGAGGAACCGACTGCTATTTGTGTATTGGTGTTCCAAGCTCATGCGTATCGGTGCTCACTGGGTCACTCTGCTCCTTTGCGGGTTTCCTAAAGGAGTTCTTGGGCCAGTTATGGCTTTTTACAGGCCTTTACCTCCTCTGGAGTCTGTACCAAACTACTGCAAGTTTGGTTAAGGGGGGTCAAGTGCATCCGTCACCACTGTCAGCATGTAGAAAACTTCTGTCTTGAACGTTAACTTCTCAAGCTCTGACAGATTCTCCAAAATTCGTTTGCTGTCTTCTGTGAGCACTAATTGTTCCTGGTCTCTGAAATGCCAGGAAAAGTGGGAGGATTTTAAAGCGCCACTAATGTGATTCTAAGAGTTACCTTCTTCCTTTTAGTCCTCTTAGGTCTTCTTTTGGAAGTTCAAATGAATAGCTGATCTCTTTTTCTTCAATTTTTCTTTTATTTCTTTATTTTAAATTGAGAGAGGAGCAAGAGCTTACGATACAGAGCTAGTTCCAGTTGTTACAGCACCTCATGAACAGATAAAATTTCCTAAGGTAAACATCCCTGATTAAACATAACTGCTCTTACTCCATTGCCAGAATGAGATTTCTGGTTTGGTTTTGCTTTTAGTGTTTTGGACGCTCAAGCTGAATGAGAGAAGCTTCACTTCTGTGACTTCATGATATGTTTGTTACTTTGCCTGCCAAGAAAACCATTGAGGCTGTACGAAAGTAGAGCAGCCTCAGGGGGAATACTTGAAGGGCAGTCATTTTCTCACTCAGATTTTATACTGGCTGTTCAGAGCAAACTTGCAACTGAAAACTGCCTCCAAAAAATTTGTGAGTCTTTGAAGGTATTGCTGTATCACTGTTACCAAACAGACATTTGTAGCAGTGGTAGCGCTCCAAGTGTGCTAGTGAGAGAAAATAGTGGGCATGAATCATTTTCAAAACCTTAGTTAGGCCTAATTTGTGACCTTAGCCCAACGCTGTTGCTTCTCACATAGATTTATGTTAATAGAAATGCAAACATTTTGAATGAAACTCCCAATACTCTGTCACGTCTATGATTTCAGAAAAACAAGGAGTTGCAAGTGTGTTTTGACCATGAACTGGTTCGGTCCGTTTCTGGTGTTTTGACTGAAGAGGACATTTATTATTTAGAGGTGATACCTAAATACAGTGATGTGCAGTAATTTTTCAGCTGTTACTAACAGCACCAAGCATTGTATTGTTTTCCAGCTTTTATACATAGCTGCTATATCTTGAATAGACCCTTCCTACCAGAAAAACTCCTAGCTTTAAAACACCATCTGAGGCAGAATGATCTCAGCTTGGTTTGTTGGGTGATAGGTGTTTGTTATCTCCATCTCTCATATTTTTAATGAAATTGTTCTCAAATACTTGGTAACAGCTGATGTGAGCGGTCTGATTGAGTAGAGCATCTGGAAGCAAGTTATCTTTTTGTCAGAATGTTTTTCTTACAAAACCCAAAATTGTGACATCTCATAAATAATAACATTAACTCTGAACTGGCAGAGTAGGTGGACATGTCCCATTTCTATTAGCCTTGGTAGGCAACAAGCTGACGTGCAGTTTAAAGCAGTGTGAAGAAGGCATAGGGACACCAAAAGCAAACATGAATCTCTTTGGAGGAGTGCCAGAATTTACTTTCAGAGAGCTTGTCAGTATAAAACAGTCTGGTTTTTTGTGGTGTGGGTTTTTTTTTTTTTGGTTTGGCTTGTTTGTTTTTTTGTGGGGTTTTTTTTAAAAGTTAAAGTTACTTTCTAGTACTGCTAAGTACCTGTTTTGACACATTAAAATGTGTCCAAAAAATTGTCCAAGTACAAAGCAAGAGGCTGTAGAAGAAGGTGAACTTTAAAGAATCTTTCAGCAGAAGAATTCAAGCATTAATTATACCAGTTACAGCTTAATGAAACTAATTTCTGACTGCTTTTATTTCCCCTGCAAGATTGTAGGACTCTTGAGGGTGTGAGAGGGGCGAATAGTTGTAAAATACTTTAGAGGGCCATTCTCCACCTCTTTCTTTTGGTCTCTGGCAACAATGTAAAATCTCGCATCTCAAGTGAGCTCAATCAGTTTATCATGTGTTTAAACAAACACCTAAAGCCGGGTAATCAGCAGGGGCGTGCTGTGTTGTTTTGGGGGGAAAGGGCGCTCTCTCATTTAAGGGTGGGTATTTTTTATTTTCACTAGTATCATGAGTTCTGCTGCAGCTGGATGTCTGGCTGCAGCAGTGTTTAAGCTGGCCTAAACAGCCACTCATTTCTGCAGGTCCCTGTCTGCTCTGCTGGTGAATCTGCTTGCTTAGCTGCACAACAGTTTGGTTTGAAGAACGTGCTTTTGGCTGAAAAGTAACCAGAGTTTGTGCCAAGTTATTTTGCAGGCAGATCTACTTTCCTGCTCTGATTCAGGATTTAGCCACATGGATAGTTGAGCTGGCACAAAGAGGATGGCTGTGCTCTGGGCAGGCCAATGCAGATAGCGACTGCTTAAGCTGATGCTCTCACAGGTGATGGACAGTGCCTTAGGAAGGAAGCAGGACTGTCGATGAGACTGTCTTCATTGCTTCCATGCTGGCAGCACTTTGAGCTGGGAGGGAACCCAGGCATGTTTTTTGAAAACTGCATGAGGTGAAAGACTCCATCCTTACATGTTCACATTCAGGGAAGATTTGCATGTTTGTCTTTTGCTTATAGATTTTAGGTTTTCTAATTCTCTGTGGAGACCTGTGTCAATTTTGTAGAGGTATCAACAGGGAGTCTGGCACAAGTGACATTTTGCATGGCATTTCAGCATATACCTCTGGCTCTTAAGACTTGTGGATCTTTCACTGTTAAGGATGAAGCCTTCTAGGGTGGGTCTTGCATCACAAATTAACTTTGTATTTTAAAATTGGCTGTTGGTAACTCAGCTTTACATCGAGAGCATGATTTTTGTCACCAACAATTTGGCACTTGGTTTATTCTCCATAGAACAGGATTTTTCATGTTTTTGTAAAAGGAATACGTAACCATTGGAGATGTGCTCTAATTTTAGCATGGCCCGAAACCAGTCTGTGCCTTCTTGTCACGTGCCAGGGAAGCCTTTCTGTGACTGAGTGTGGCAGTGATGTGTGCTGAAAGATGTGCTCAAATTCTCCAAATTACTTACATCCTCAGGGGTATGAGGAAGCTGTATTTGCCAAGATAATTGTACAACATGCTCCTTCTTTAAGTCTCCCAAGAGGATTGTTTTGGGCTGCATCAGGAA